TGAATGCATGTGACAACCCAAATCATTCCTCACAAGTTCCCTACATGAATTGCATAATAGAGATACGAGCAAAGATCATTAAGTTCTATGAAAATCATAAGCATTGACAAGGCACTTGTAACTATGAATTGCATGAAACTTATGCCAGTAATTTACTTAACACGATCGTGACCAGCAACCTCCACTACTTATGAATATAAGTTCATAACGATTAGGTGAAACTCCCTTATATTCTAGCATCAAATTCATGCATGCAAACTAAGTGTCGACCCTCAATCAACATACAAGAATAAGTTATCAATCAAACAGTTAAGTAAATTGCATTCAAGGTTTATGAAATCACAACTGAAAGTAATCAATTCATATTGTAAATATGTTCATGGCTTTGAATTCCCTCTAGCAAAAACGGGTTTAGCCACTCATGTTCGCAAAACAAAGATTATTGAACTTAAACATTGAAAACAAAAGAAAGATTACACCTAAAACGTTCTAGCAACTCTAACTTGAATGGCAAGAATGTCCAAGGGCTCTCCTTCTTCTTCTTTGTTGCGGCACAAGGTGTGGTTGATGATTTTTATCGTGAATTGTGGTGGTAGATGGATATCGGTGAGTTATGGTGAAGGGTGGATAGGTGGATTATGGCCCTCCTCTGAGTGGTGCAGCTAAAGCTTTTTAAAGGCTAAAACTCGGCTAGGGTTCAGAAAAAGGGTTTTAAATACTTAACTAATTTGTCCCACAATTGAATAGGTAAGAAAGAATCAGAATTTCAAGAGAAATAGATAACAAAGATGCGGCACAATATAGGAAAGGTATTTAAGGTCAGAAATTAAGAGAGAAAAGGGAAGGAAGCTGCGGCTGACTTTTAATTGAAAAGGGAATGTGATTTTGGTTCAGAATTTAGGCAATGAGAGGATCCCTTGTGCGGCAAGAAAAGGAAAAAACCTAGGGTGGTGCGGCTTGGACTTTAGGGAAAGTTTAGGACTTCTAGAATATGTAATTAAATGTCCTCACATATTTTGGAATCCTTTTGTGGCTGGAACATAGGTGAGGAAGTATTAGGAAACTTCCAATCCAAGAATAGAAACTTTCAAGAATGGAAACCTCCAACTTTAGAACTTTGGCTTCCAATTCTGAACTCTTTGTTCTTCATTTTCATTTCTTCATTTCTTTCATCTCATTATTCATTCCTAACCTCCTTTGATCTTCAATTTCGTCCATCTACTTAGCTCCAAGCATGTGTTATTCATTTCAAGCCCAAAACTGCACCAAAAGGCTCCAAAATACACTTTCTTGCTCCTTTAGCCCTTTGGACCTACGAACACACGAAAATAGCTTAATATACTAAAATAACTAGGAACTAACAACATAAATGCCAAAACAAGCTAACTAAGTGACATAAATATACTCCTATCACGAGCCGAACTCATTGCAAGCTCGAATTATTTCAAGCAACTTACAATCCTAGAAACAAATATATAGTGTACAATATTGACCATGTTTGGCAAAAAAAGTTTGAAGTCTTTCTAGATTAAAAAAAAACATGCAAAGTAATTCCTAGAAGAAGCACATGTTGTGTGCTTATTTCAGGAAGCACTTGTTGTGCACTTCTTTCAGAAAACAGTTCAAGTGCATTTTCAGGAAGTACTTGCGTATTATTAAAAAAATTATTGTGCTTCTAATAGTGCTTTTACTGAAATGGTTTACAGCAAAAATTCTTTTTAAAGTAGTTCCAAACCAGCCTAGAGAGATATTAGGGTCTACTTAGCAAAATGTGTTCGTGTTCCATCTTCTACTTCTAATTGTAATAGGAAATAAAATTAAAATAGGAATCATATCCCTCTAACAATAATAACAATGAATCAACATCCTACAAGTTAGCTTATGCTAACAATGTCCCTCAAATTGGTGCATAAATGTTGCTAATGCTCAACTTGCCAAATAAGTTGTAAATTGCTTTACTCGAAATGTCAGTCGTAGATCTTTGATCAAATTATAGATTCATCACAAACTTAGAAGCAAATCTAAATTCTGTAACCAAAGCAGCCTCTAAACCGAAGAAGGTTAACACAGTCCTTTAGCTATTCCTCCATACTCAGCTTATGCACTAAGTAGAGCGGCCACCTTTCACTTCTTACTTCACCATGTAAGCAAATCCCCTACACAACTTTAAAATAACAGAGATATGGATCGGATATCAGTGATATTCCATGTCCAACAAAAAACATAACCCATCAATTACAATAATTACAATTAATTCTACAAGTCACGCCACCTAATGCTTCCGGTCAAATTGACCTCTAATTTTTATTTTTTTATTTTTTATTTTTTGGAACAAACAATATTATCTACACTAAAGCGAAAAGGGTGGTAGACTTAGCCTCACAATGGAATAGCAATAATGCGGTTCAAATTCACTTTTGACGAGAATCAAACTTAAGACCTCTCACTTACATGTGAAGAGGAATACCATTAAACCACAATACTAAATGGCAATCCACCTCTAATTAATCTCAAGATGACCAACCTCTCTTTAAACTTGATTCTACCATATTTTACCAATCTGAAAACTACCGAGTATCGATCAACTTCATACCTTGAATGACCCACTGGAGAATTCGTGCTAAGGAACCCATGCCGAAGCACAAGAGTTTCTCCCAAACTAGGAGGCCAATCACAATGTGACACGTGGGGCGACATCAGAATAAACCTTCTAGAATCTTACATCGACCACAGATGAAAGCCGAAGACTCTTCTCAACTATAAAAGGAGACCATTCTTCTCAATTAATCCTTAATGCCATTATTGTACTTAAACTCATCATTAGAACTCACTAATGATGATTATGCTTGAACCTATGTATTGTGTAAACTCTTCATTATTAATGAGAACTCCTATACCCTCGTGGACATAGCCCAACTTAGGGTGAGCCACATACATCTTGTGTTTAGTTCTTTATCTCTATCTCTTTACATATTGTCCTCACTAGGTGATGGAGAAACCTTGAGAATGTCACAAACTTAATTTAACACTTTACATAGTTTCAAAGTCTCACGATTTTGTACATCAACAAAACTTAATTAGCTTTATGGGCATAAAAAAATTTAACTGATTGAGCAGATAATATCACTAACAGAAGACCCCCATATAGTTAGTTTACCTTTGTTAGACGAAATTTGGTTACTTTACGCTTTGCCGATGAACAAGTAAGAATTGCATCAACAAAAATTGATGGAATTGGACCTAAAAAAGCCATTCAGATTCGTTATTTATTCTGTATCAGTGGGAACATAAACATAAAAGAATTAACTAAGTATCAAATTGAACAAATGATGGGTCAATGCAGCATATTTTCCATTTTCTTTTCATTTTTAAGATTTTCTTTATCTGATATCAAATGCAAACTACCAGCAAATACCTCTCAAGAGTATTAATACCGTCACATGAATTGTAAATGTATGAATGTGATGCACCAAAAAATCTGCAGTTCCTAATGTAATAGATAAGAAATCAACTTTGCCACCTACTGCTACTAAATCATGGCGGGACTATTGATGTAAAATTTATTAATAGTATTCAAATTTAAATATGACTTCTAGAGAATTACAAAGAAGTTTCTTTTCTCCTTCTGTTCTTTTTCTTTCTTTTTTCAGTTGCCAGGGTCAAGGCCTTTCTCATTGGGCGAGCCATCCGATTCAAAATTCATTCCCATTCAATTTCTATATGGATAAAGATAAGCTTTTATAATGAGATTTACTTCCACGAATATGCATGCAAAAAAGTTGTTATTTGCTGTTGTTCCCAACGAGTAATTAATAATCTTGTTATGCACAAAAAAAAAATAGCTATCATCCAATTTTTTGACGAATCATCTAGTCCTACAATTTCATCGCCTAATAAATTTTAATTACAATTGAAATGATAAAAAATGATATATGGGTTAATATATGCTAATGTGCGAGATCTGGTAGCACATACCAATGAGACCCCATCGATTAGTATTACACAAAAGAAATCAATTATAGACACTAATATAATTTTGATATGCTCTTCATGGACAAACTTAGGATTTGCGATTCCAAGTTAGATCGGTTCAAGATCATGGTATCCTTTTCTATGAGATAGGAAGGATTGTTGTACAAAATGTACTTTTAAGTAATTGCTCCATAGATCCAACATCTATCTATATAAAGAAGAAATCATGTAACAAAGGAGATTCTCATTTGTACTAATGGTACTTCAAACTTGGAACGAGCATGAAGAAATTAATTTTACTTCTTTATCTTTTGAGTTGTTTTGCCGGATTGGTCGCTCAAGACCTTTGGTTTGTATCCCGATCTGTAGTTGAAAATATTATAAAATTAATATAGGGTTCCTCAATAATAGGAATTAAATTGGGAATGAATTCATATGAATATATGTTGTGACAATAAAACTGCAATTGAAATTGCTCATAATCTAGTTTAACATGATCGCAACAAACATGTTGAGGTGGATAAATATTTCATCAAAGAGAAGTTGGAAGGTCAGATTGTTCAATTTTTGTTTGTGAAGTCGAAGAACCAATTAGCTGATATGCTAATAAAAGCAATTTTGAGCAAGGCATTTTACAACACATTTAGCAAGTCGGGCATCAATGACATATATGCACCAATTTTTTTATTTTTTATTTTTTTGAACAAATGATATTATCGACATTGAGGGGTGAAGAAGTGGGCTAAGCCTTACAATGGGCTAGTAATAATGTGTGGTGAGAATTGAACCTAAACCTCTCACTTTAGCGTGGCTTGACTTGTAGGATTAATTGTAATTAGTAATTAGTGGGTTACATTTCCTATTTAGGTTTCGTTTCCTACTGTAATTAGAATTAGGAGTTATTATTATTCTTGCTCTGCAAGGCTCGTTGACTATATATATACCTCCTTTGAGGGGAAGAATCATATCAGAGAATTAACACATAAACCTAATTTTAGCAAGTGGTTAAATTTAGCGTAACTAGACAATTCAACTAAAAGATCGAATAAGTTCTTCATTTGTAATTATAAACTTGGTACTACCGATGCGCAGACCATATAGCGTATTGTACTAAACGTACAAGTTCATCATGTACATATTACGATATACACGTCCAGGGTATTAGATATTGTAGGCATTGATTTGGATGGTAATTCAAGTTATGCAGTGGGGTAAGAGGCTTCCATAGCAATGCCACAAAGACCTTCCTTTGCCTCAACACCTCTCTGCATTCTTATGTATCCTTCTTCACCCCATTCAGTGCCCCATGAGTTCTTCACCAACCAATATTTAGTCCCATCAGCACTAACTCCATAACCAACAGCGGTAACCCCATGATCAAGACTCGTTCCACAAGTTCCTGTAAAGACACCACTTGAATAGAATTGAAAATCGGAACCTCCAGCATCAATGGCAACAGAAATTGGCTGATTTGCAACAGCCTTCAGAAGGGCTTCTTCACTGTTTGCTGGCACATCTTCATGACCAGTTATTTTGGCTGCATGGTTGGCCTCCTTCTTGGTGTTGCAAGTACCATCAACACCGGTGTAAGGATAATTAGTCTCGGTACTAAGCCCATGGTTTTGATTGATGAATTGAAATGCATCATCCATCAAACCACCCTCACAACCTTGATCTACACCGCTTGTGTCACAATCAACCAACTCTTGCTCAGACAAAGATATCAATTTACCAGTTGTAAGCTTAGTAATTCCTTCCATGGCTGCCACCGCTGAAAAAGCCCAACAACATCCTGCAAGTATTTTGTTGCAGTTAGATATCATGTTGTTCTTTTTTTTTTTTTTTTTTTTTTTTTTTTGCATAAATTAAGTAGTGGTTAATTTAATAGACATAGATTTGTATAATATTGCAATTAAATCATAGTTAGAGTACTAGAAACCGTTTAATGAAGTTCCAAGTTATAAATAAAATTGATTACCACATTGGCCTTGGTCCTTGACTGGTGTCACAGCTCCTTTGTTTCTCCAATCTACAGTTGGTGGTGCAGTAACATTTTCATATTTGAAAGAAGTCGTCTTTGCGGAACATTCGTGCCCCATGAATCTATTTCTCGAGGCTTTGAATTCTTCATTCGTAAGGTCTGCAAATTGATTGACGCTCAATTTGTAAAGTTTGTTTGCATCATTGTTGGAAGATTCTATGAAGGCAACATTTTCCTTGAAAATATTGAAGCGCTTCTCCTCCTCGTTAATGTCAGAATATACACGTCCATAACGAGCCATCCATTGCTCGTATCTCCCATACATTGATGCATCTTGGAGAGTGCGAGAAGTGGCTTGAGAAGACAAGGCTCCCAGCATGAAGATCAAAGCCAAAATAATACATTTGCAGTAGTACTGGTTAATGTATTCCATGGTGTATAGCTAGTAACGGAAGCTACTAGGATTTGATGAAGTAAATGGATTGGAGAGAAGGTTATACCCAAATGGTAGACTGCTTCACAGTTTATATAGAGAAGAGAATGGCGGGCGTTGCTATCACCGTGTTCCAAAAGTTGATCTGCAATCTTCGTGCCCTGTAAAATGTTCCGATATAAACCTCGCTTTTATTTTTTTTTTATTATTATTTTTTCTAATTTGAAGTCACGGTAAATTAGTAGCTAAACATATGTCCTTATGCGCTTACTTGTTCATATAGGTCAAAACAAATGTAACTTTGTTAATATGCAGAACTGATTAAGTTGGAAAAGTAGTCTCAAATTGTAAACCTCATGTCATAACGCATGCAACCTTCTCCTTACTTTAGACATGAATAAGCTAAGTGCCTATTCTTAGAGCTGGCTTGGAATTGTAGTGCTTTAAAAAAAAAAAAACAGCTTATTAAAAAAATCTAGGACATCAAATTTATTTAGAAAAATCAAAAGAGGTGTTTTTTTCTTAAAAATGATAACAATAAGAATAGAAAAGCATAGAAAAGTAAAAGCATTAAGGGCTGGTTTGGTATTGCTGTGCTTTGAAAAAAAACTGTTGTGAGAATAAGCGGCTGTGCTGTGAGAATAAGCGGCTGTGAAATAAATCAGCAGAGCGTTTGGTAAACTTTTTTGTAAAAGTGCTTTGGAAAGAAAAGTAGTCTGATAGTGGGTCTTTTCATTAAAGGAGCACTGTAGCTCTGTGTGCTTTGAAAAAAAGCCAGTTTTCCAAAGCTGCAAATAGCAGCTTCAGCTTTTTCCTTTGATTTCAGCTTATTCTCACAGCAGCTTCCAAAATAAGCTCTTTTTTTTCAGTTTACCAAACACTTACAACCCTCACAGCTTTTTTTCATATGTGCTTTTTTTTTTAAGCACCTCACTCCCAAACTAGGTCTAAGTAGGGTCTATCATGTTCCTATAAAAAGTATATTTTTTTTCTTTCAAAGTATAGTAATCATTGCGCACTTAATAAAATTTTCAAATTGCAAGTATACCCCCACATATTTTACCAAATTACAATTTTTACCCCTACATTATTCTTTTTTATAATAATTTATCACATTAAATATCATAACACCGCAAAAACAGCTTTTTTAAAATGCACACCAATACCAAACTAGGCCTTAAGATAGATAAGGGGAGAGGAATGAGAGATTCGCTCTCGCGATGTCCAATTTGCATCAATGATCCAAAAAACACAACGCAAACGGGTCAACTAACGCAAGAATAACTGGTGTGATATCATGTTAAAAGTAGGCTCATGTGAGACTTTTCTAATACGGTTCTTCGCTTGTTTACATGGTGTACAACCCCTTTGGAGAGTAGAAACTAGTTAACATCTGCTAATTCTAATTACAATATGTAGCAGGACCTTCACCAATGAAAGTTGCAGTGCAGTCCCTTGAAATGTTCCGGTGACTAGCGTCGTAGTATCATTAACATTTCGATCCATTCCCTGTTCATTTCTGATGATCCATCAACAATGCTATGCTCCAAGATTATATCTATTCGTACACTGTCAATGTTCAACGTTGCAAATTATATGTAGAAATTGTGAGACGAAAGATGAGTCTCCTAACACAACATACCCTTAAGTGACGCGAATTAAAAGAACCACCATGATGAATACGCATGTCATTACAAACATCAGAAGCCATGTGAAACAAGTAGTTTTGGACGTCTTTGAGTATATATATCTGTCGCCCGTGTAGTGGCATGGCCAGTGTTTGCCAAGCTACTTTCAACAGCCTTCTCTGTGGAATCAAGTATCTGCATACAAGCCATAACTAAGTTATGAGATCAACGTATATGTCCTTCCACCAGCTATGAATTTACATCTAAGACACCAGAGAGTAAACAGTTACAACTAGTTTCTTGAAGTAACATACGTTTCTAACCAAAAATTTAATCAGTTCTCCTGTTACCACTTAAATTCCTCAGCAAATCTATTTGTTTTAGCCCCCGTGTCCTGGGGCCCGTTTGGTATCCTACTCAAATGTTTTCATCATTTCTAAAACCATTTCGAAACAAAAATTCAATCAGTTCCCCTTCCGTCGACCTCCCCAGTCACCCTAAGCTCTAATCCACAATTAGCCAATCAGATGATAGATCCATTACTTCACCACCATATCCAACAGAGTACAACATCTCTCTCCTACCGCATCGACTCAGGATGGCACAACAAGAGAGTAGCTCTAGCGGCGAAGTTGAACCCGCACTCGCAGAGAGAGAGAGAGAGAGAGAGAGAAAGGGAGAGAGAGAGAGAATTATTAGCTTGTGACTAAAAAAATCATTATTGAGTATAAAAACATGGATCCAAATAGGATACCAACAGGCTCTTAGGACTCGTTTCAGTCCGAACACTCGATTCTTTGTTTAACATTTTCCTTTTCAAGCATTTCTCCTAATCTCACACCCTCTAAATACTACGCAATATTCAACTTAACTTCCCTTCAGTGTCAACCTAAACAAATCAAACCACAGCCAGCTAAATCCAATAGTATTGATTCTATAGACCTTACAACATCCTGCAATAGATATCTCAGGGTATCTTACTTTTTCAGTGTTCTCCAGGGAGTGACTCATCATGAGACTACTCTCTTTGAGTTGCCTAGCCAATCCAACCATTTCGTCCGTCAAATCCTCTTGAAGCTTTCTGTAAAACAAGAGAGAAAATTTATAAGAGTCGTAAACATAATGTGGAAGGGAAATGTAATTAACACTTGAAGTTTTAACTGCCGAATTGTGTGACCTCTACTTTATGGACGCCAATTGACTTGGGATCGAAGCAATTTCCTCTCTAACAGTAACAGTATCTACTCTGGTGGGTTCTGGTTAAAGGTCATGTTGATTCTAGCCACCATCTGTTGGCGGTGGTGTACCAAACATGCAGAAAGATCTTAGTATCGCTGCAGATGGCAGGAAAGACATGGGCAGGACATGGACTTGGGTTGATACAATTTGGATGGTCCTCCTAGTTCCTTAATAAGCACTCTGAATGACAGACAGGCGGGTTTGTAGACCAAGAGTTGTTTTTAGGTAGTGTTTTGTCTTTGTTACCAACAAAGTAAAGAAAGAAAAGTGTACAAATAGATGGAACTAATCCCAAAGTTGCCCAATTCTATTGCTCTAATTTTATTAGATATCCCAATGGAGCATCCATGTCATTTCTATTTGTAAAAGAAGCGTATCCCATTTATTTTTAAACAAAAATCCACTTCTTTCTTGGCTTAAAAGAAAAGTAACTTCATATTGAAAACATATATAACTACATTTCAGTCCCAATTTATGACCAACATCCTAGAACTCCCGTTTTCAAATTCATCCAGTCTAGTTACTCCAGTTTAATAGAAGAAATTGAGATAGTAATAATATACTTAAGCTTTTCAATGTGTGCTTGGGCTGCAGCATCCAGTTTAATAGGTGCCAAAGAATCAACATTAACAGTCTCGCGAGCTCCATCTTCGATATTAGAGGGAGGCCTATTTAACAAAACCACGGTTAAAATAAAACAAGTCATTGCAGACAAAAAATCACTAAGGAACTGAAACCATAGTGATCCTAACTATCATTTACTTACACAAATCTCCTTCTCAGACCTGGAGAAGCGGGAATCTGATTGTCTCCTGTATCAAAAGAGTTTGCTTTGACAGAAATTCTTGCAAGGGGCTCTTCAGGTGTTTGAATATCAGGCTGGGAATTGCGAAATAAATCACAGTTAGGAGCAAGGAACTTCATATATTGCACATACATACCCTACATTCTTTGACCAACAAATTAAAAACATTACATTCTGAAGAAATATTCTCTTGCCAAGCTGTTAATCTGGACCACTGATCAGGTAAACTCCTGCTTTCATATGTGATGCCAGATAATATACCATGTCAGATATGCAAGAGAACATAATCCATATATTACAGATTCACTCTCAAGATAACAAAAAGGACGCAACAAATTACATGTACTGATGCACTGAAGGAGATTCAGAATCATTACAATCATGAAACTTGAACTATAAACTGTCTCTAGAAATTGTTCCCTGCATAAGAACTAAAAACTGTCCAACCATCCATCACAGCTAAAAATACCTGTAATATTTTAGGTGTTGTGTCAACCAGTCTCCCAAGCAATTCGTTTCAGCGGAACAATATTTTTGTTCCTCATACCTTATCATTATAATTTCCAGACCTTCAAACTAAATTAGTAAAATTGATTTGAATCATACATGATACTTAATTCCATAGAAAATTGTAAATCAAAAGTACACATTTTACCAATAACTGGTTTAAAGTACATATTATCAACACTTCAACAATAGCGACATGAATGATTTATAGATTATATGTACACACCGGTGGAGCAGCTAATTTGGAAGCAATGGCTTCGATCTTCTCTGAATAGTCACTCATAACAGCCTTTGAAACTCTGTATATGAAATCGCAAATAATGATTTCAATAACTAAGAATCTTATAAACTCTTAAGTAGGGAACAGTATCAACAAAATACATAGAAATGGATAATATGAAAATGTTGATCGGCGTAGCTAATGTAGGACCCAGTATCAACAAAACAATGTTTGGAATGTGAATCAATATTCCCTCATACCTTGGTAAGCCTTCTGGATTTCTCTCTTCAGCTAGTTGTTCTACGAGTTCCCGTAAAATAGCAACATACTGCAAAGTAGCATTACTTATGTCATCCATAAATGGTAGATATCCCCCAAGCAAAAACAAAAAAAACCTAAAACTTTGAATATAAAGCCAAGAAACCGGAAATATTTGGCACAAAGCAATTATCTAAAAATGGATAACACCTTGTAACCTATAATTCTAATAACAGCATACATGTACAAGTTTTGCCTGGTTATGTTGCTGAGGCGCAGATGCAAGCAGCCTCCTCAAATTCACCTCTGTTTTACTGATCCTCATCCCAAAATCCTACATCATTGAGAAAAAAAAAACAACAAACGATTCAACACTCGAACAACACCCATGAAATCATCACTTTTTAGTATGTGATCCATATGCCATCAGTATTTGATCCCTAATCTTTGTTTTTTTTTATCTAAACATCGTCAATTTGATTTTGATCAGTTCAACAATTGGGATTTGTAAAGTGACCATTTCATCAATTTCCCAAAAAAATTAACCCAAATCTTAAAAAAAAGGAAACCCATAACCCTATTCTGCAAATAAATAAATGAAAAACAGTGGACCACCTAATATAATTAGCTTTCTCGACCCGTTCATACACAAAAAGAATAAAAACCGATGGGGCTGCAGATTCATCAGCCAAGTGCTTAGGAAAAGTCGATTTCCTGTGCGATAATTGGTAAGTTTGAGTGTCCCATTGGAACATTGTTGACTTCACGTTTGACACTAGAACAGGGCATAATCTGTTTTCTTAATCTCCTCGACCACGACGAATCGTCACTCTTTGATTCTTAACTACTCGTCCTATCATCAAATAGCTACAGGGAATGATTTGAGTTATAAAACCTGATTCTTATCAAATAGCTCTCAAAAATTCGATATGCGAAAACCGAAACAGAAATAGAGTCCAAATCTCATCCCAAAACGAACAATGAACCCAATTTACATGAACAAAAACAAAACAATAGGAATATTTCAATCTGTACAAAAGTAAACACATTCAGGAAAGCACAAAGCATGCATCCAATCCCATCCCATTCAAAATTCCAGCTCCCAATCATATAAAATAGTAATAGAGAGAGAGTGTTCAAAGTCTAACCTTTGAATTCGCCCAAACAAAATTCCAATTGAATCGTTCTTCAGCCTCTCACTGCTGAAATCTGGAAATAGGTTCTCTTTGTTTACTGATTTCGAATCAGCGCGAGAGATGAAGGGGATCGAGTTTCTCTGGTGTTTTCGTCGTTGGAGGCTGGAGAAGAGTTTCTTCCCGTTATTAAGGCCTAGCCTCTCCGCACGCAAACGTGCATCCGATGGGCATTTTTGCATCACGCGCGAATGTTAACTTTCTCCATCCCCATGTAGTTTGTACTTAATTTAATTCCTAATTACATTTGATATATATAGTTTAGCAGTAATACAAATTGGAATTTATATACTTGCAATGTCTAGTTTCTCGACATATATACTTGACCCTCTCTAATCCTAATCGCGGTCGCGTTTTGAAGTCTTATAATTTAAAAGTAAGTTCAGTTCTAATACTTAAGTTCAAATACAGAGCAAGATGTGAAAAGCAAAATCTCCACAAACTAAAATATCAAAACGTCCCAAAGCAATATAAGTTATAACAACCAATCATGTTCCCATACCCATGCCCTCTCTGTCCAACTTTTTTTCTATGAACAAAGATTGTCCTTGGGCCTCTCAATTTGAAAGCAAATCTGCATATTTTTGTGTACCTACAGACAAAAATCAACAGAATAGAAAGAGAAAAAAAAAACTAAATCAGACATATTCTTAATTTATTATCAAAGCTATGACTTGTAGGAGGGTAAAGAAGTCAATTTAGTACTAAAAGCAATAACACATACAATTAATTTATTCTATAATGAATTTGTTCCATACAAATTCGGAGTTTAGGCATTTCTTCCTAACAACACACCCAAAATATGAATTTTTAGTAGATCCAATTTATTTCATACATAATTGTGGTAGGGTTATTGTGTGCCTCACTTCCTATTTTTCTACACCCAATAAATACAAAACCAAACCTAAAAGCTCACATGTGCACATTCAATCACTCAAATAGAATTATAAGAGAAGATTTTTCACAGGAAATTAAAATGATGTCGCATACTTGAATAATTCTCGCCATTTACCTGGAACGCTACAAAAGATAAAAAAAAAAAAAAAAGAAGTCAAAACTCAAGGCAGAGATGAAAACTACAGTAAAACTAAATAAACATATAAAACAGAGAGAAAATAATACACTCTCCCATTGTATATCCATAAACTTTTCATTAGCCAAATTGTTTGAGAAATCAGACAAAAAATAAGCCAAAAACAGAAAGAATCAAATCTTAAGAGACAGAATATACAAGACCTCAATTTGAAAAGGGCCTTCACGAACTGGCTTATAGGAAAGGGATAAAATTTCATAAGAAAGGAGAAGCCGGACAGCGAGGTTTCAATGCAAGCAACCCCTTGTCTGCCAACCCCAAGAGAGTCTGAAAATGAAGAAGCCAATTTGTTATTGTTATTTGGGGGGACTGGGGAAAGGAACCCGAAAAATGTAAGAAGAAACCCGAAAAATTACTCTAAAACGAGAAGGAAAAAAACATCCAAACCTGAAGACTTTGATTCCATCACTGTGACTTGAGGATGTCCTTAAAAGTCCTCTGAAGAAAAATAAAAAAAATGAAAGCCTAACCTATCGATTGATTTATTTGACATGTTAAGAGAAGAAAAACCTGCAGAGAACAAAAACCACAATCAAACCACTACAATTAACGTGCAAAATTTTCAATAATCCTGTGAAAATGCATGAGAAAATTAAGGAATAAGAAGCATTGTGATGGAGAACAAAACACACAAATTTAATAATTGAGAACTACAGAACAACCAGTTCTTGTTGGTTTTTCTCCAATTTGATCTTCTCCTCCAGGCTCTAGCACAACAATTTGAAATTGTTTTCTTGAGGTTATTTTATTTTGTGTTTTATTTACATGTCCCACAAAACTGCTTCCTCTCCCAAGTTTGCTTTTATTTTCATGCATGTTCACGTTTATCATTTTACAAAACTGTTTACTTCACACGCTTGAAGATGCAACTGCCGAATAGCAGTTCTATTCTAAATGTATTAGGTCTTTTTTTTTTATTCCATTAGCAATAGCAGGAGATGTAACATCCCACATCGCCCAAGGGAGCGGATTCTCTAAGCCTTATATATACATGCCCACCTCTTCTTAGCACAAGGCTTTTTGGAAGCTCACTGGCTTCGGATTCCATCAGAACTCCGAAGTTAAGCAAGTTCGGGTGAGAGATATCTCAGGATGGGTGACCCACTAGGAAGTTCTTGTGTGAATTCCCAGAAACAAAACGTTGAGGGCATGGTCATGGCCCAAAGCGGACAATATCGTGCTACGATGGAGTCGAGCCCAGGATTAGTGGGGGCTCGGGCCGGGATGTGAAAATTTGGTATCAGAGCCCATCTCTGACCGAAAGTGTGTCGACGAGAACGTCGGGCCCCTAAGGTGGGGTCGATTGTAACATCCCACATCACCTAGGGGAATGGATCATGTAAGCCTTGTATGTACTTGCCCACCTCTTCCTAGCACGAGGCCTTTTGGGAGCTCACTGGTTTCGAGTTCCATCGGAACTCCGAAGTTAAGCGAGTTCGCGAGAGAGCAATCTCATGATGGGTGATCCATTGGGAAATTCTCGTGTGAGTTCCTAGAAACAAAACCGTGAGGGCGTGATCGGGGCCCAAAGTGGACAATATAATGCACAGTGGAGTCAAGCCCCGGATATGGTGGGGGCCCAGGCCAAGATGTGACAATTTGGTATTAGAGCCAATCCCTGGCCGGAAGTGTGTCAACTAGGACGTCGGGCCCCTAAGGGGGGTGGATTGTACCATCCCACATCATTCAGGGAAGTGGATCATCTAAGCATTATATGTACATGCCCACCTCTTCCTAGCACGAGGCATTTTGGGAGCTCACTGGCTTCAGGTTCCATCTGAACTCCGAAGTTAAGTGAGTTCGCACGAGAGCAATCCTATGATGTGTGACCCACTGGGAAGTTCTCGTGTGAATTCCCATAAACAAAACCGTGAGGGCGTGGTCGGGCCCTAAAGGGGACAATATCGTGTTACGGTGGAGTCGAGCCCAGGTTGTGGTGGGCGCTCGGGCTGGGATGTGACAATTTGGTATCAAAGCTAATCCCTGGTCGGAAATGTGCTGACGAGGATGTCGGGCTCTTAAGGGGGTGGATTGTAACATCCCACATTGCCCAGGGGAGTGGATCCTCTAAGCCTTATATGTACATGCACACCTCTTCCTAGCACGAGGCTTTTTGGGAGCTCACTGGCTTCAGGTTCCATCGGAATTCTGAAGTTAAGCGAGTTCGCGCGAGAGCAATCCCATGATGGGTGACCCATTGGGAAGTTCTCGTGTGAGTTCTTAGAAACAAAATCGTGAGGGCGTGGTCAAGGCCCAAAGTGTACAATATCGTGCAGGGTGGAGTCGAGCCTGGGATGTGGTAGGGGCCCGGGCCAAGATGTGACAATTTGGTATCAGAGCCAATCCTTGGCCGAAAGTGTGTCGACTAGGACGTCAGGCCCCTAAGGGGGGTGGATTGTACCATCCTACATCGCTCATGGGAGTGGATCATCTAAGCCTTATATGTACATGCCCACCTCTTCTTAGCACGAGGCCTTTTGGAAGCTCACTAGCTTCGAGTTCCATCTAAACTCTGAAGTTAAGCGAGTTCGCACGAGAGCAATCCCATGATGGGTGACCCACTGGGAAGTTCTTGTGTGAGTTCCCAGAAACAAAACCATGAGGGCGTGGTCGGGGCCTAAAGCGGACAATATCTTGCTACGGTAGAATCAAGCCCAAGATGTGATAGGGGCCTGGGCCAGGATGTGATAATTTAATATTAGAACCAATCCCTGGCCGGAAGTGTGCCAACTAGGATGTTGGGCCCCTTAGGGGGGTGGATTGTAACATCCCACATCGTCCACGAGAATGGATCATTTAAGCCTTATATGTACATGCCCACCTCTTCCTAGCACGAGGCCTTTTGGGAGCTCACTCGCTTTGGAGTTCCACTAAGCGAGTTCGGGCAACAACAATCCTATGATGGGTGACCCATTGGGAAGTTCTCGTGTGAGTTCCCAGAAACAAAACCATGAGGGTGGGTCGGGGCCCAAAGCGAACAATATCGTGCTACGGTGGAGTCAAGCCTAGGATGTGGTGGGCACTCGGGCTGGGATGTGACAATTTGGTATCAGAGCTAATCTCTGGTCGGAAGTGTGCTGACGAGGACGTCGGGCTCTTAAGGAGGGTGGATTGTAACATCCCACATTGCCTAAAGGAGTGGATCCTTTAAGCCTTATATGTACATGCACACCTCTTCCTAGCACGAGGCTTTTTGGGAGCTCACTAGCTTCGGGTTCCATCGAAACTCCGAAGTTAAGCGAGTTCGAATGAGGGCAATCCCATGATGGGTGACCCATTAAGAAGGTCTTGTGTGAGTTCCTAGAAACAAAACCGTAAGGGCGTGGTCGGGGCCTAAAACAGACAATATCGTGCTACGGTGGAGTCGAGCCCGGGATGTGGTGGGGGCCCAGGTCGGAATATGACAATTTGGTATCAGAGCCAATCCTTGGCCAGAAGTGTGCCGACGAGGACATCGGGCCCTTAGGGAGGGTGGATTGTAACATCCCACATCGCCCAGAGGAGTGGATCCTCTAAGTCTTATATGTACATGCCCACCTTTTCCTAGCACAAGGCCTTTTGGGGGCTCACTGGCTTCGAATTCCATCGGAACTCCAAAGTTAAGCGAGTTCGCGCAAGAGCAATCCCATGATGGGTGACCTATTGGGAAGTTCTCGTGTGAGTTCCCAGAAACAAAACCGTGAGGGCATAGTCGGGGCCCAAAGAAGACAATATCGTGCTACGGTGGAGTCGAGCCCAGGATGTGGTGGGGGCCCGGGCCGGGATGTGACAAACTGACACACCCCGACCCGGAAAGTTCCACTGGACTCCGAATCGAGTTGTGTTGGCCGACACCTTGAGGGTGACGAAGCCATATAGTGTAGCGTAGTGGAAAAAGAATGTAAATAAATTTAAATCTAAAAGTGCCTAAACAAAAGAGTGCGCGGGTGAGCGGGATTGAACCCTTTCACACATGATGTTAAAGCATAAGACAATAAAGTGAATAGGATGAGGGTTACACCATTGAAGGTAGCCATCTCCTAAGACTTTCCAGAATCCTCGTATATACATAAGCATTGCTACTAAACTTAGAGGGGCGAAAAACAAAGTTAAGTGGGTTAGCAAAACAATGTTTTGCAAAAACCTTTATTTTCAAATATACTAACCCCTCACCGTAAAACAAGTATAGTTTCCTTAAAACATATTCTGTAAGTATGTAAACAATAATACAATAGCATTATAACCATAAATATGCCAAGTCATGATATATCAAATGTCGCAGTAATATAATCATGTGATAATCAAGTATAGCTAAGTGCTCATCCATCTAAGCTGACACACGAGTTTGAACAGATAATTTCTGACACAAACAGGACTGGGTGTAATCAATACGCTCTAGTACTACGATCACGTGAAGACTGGTGCAGAAGCACGTCACATACAAGTCGGATTGCCTAATGCAATATGCCAGACAGGACTGGCACATAACTTGGATCCAAGGTGAGCGAACGATGCGATGTGAACATATACATGAAGGACTGGCCCTGGCCCTGGGGCAAGTACTAACACTAGTGCAGCAAGATGAGAATGTACAAATATGTATGAATGTCATGACAGTAATATATCAGCCATATAGCAGCATTTATCACATTTATTATCACAATAACGAATACTTGGCAATATAAGCGTAAAGGTGAAGTAACTACGCATTTAGGGAAACTGTAAATATGTATAGGTATAAAATAATCTACCCACTCATAGATACATAGTCGAAACGAAGTGTCCGAGCCTTGCTTGACCTGTACGTCCTTGGGATACGTTTCCCCTATATGTGAAGTTACTAATTAACTTAGTTTAATAACACATAAATGGAAACTTAAATAAAACCTTTGTAAATTGCTCAAACATAGGGTTTGAATATATGAAATCGATCTACTCGACGTCACCAACCTACACAAATTGACAAAAGATCAATCGGAGGCCAAACGCACCTCCACGCGCTGCACTGGCATCCACGCACGCCTACGCGCCTACGAGTACATACGTACTTGCCTTCATCGCGAGTTCCTGCAATTTGCAAGTTGAAGGTCCAACTTCCAAAGCTCCTAACAAGCTCGATTCTGTACCAAAATCAATGATACCATAACCTATGTGAAGTTAGGAGTGTAGGGAACAAGTCTATAAGAAAATAGGGCCGCGCTAAGGTCTATGATGGCCAGGAAAATGGTCTGAAAATGGCCAAATGGCCACGGTCTAAGTTTTCCAGAAATCTGGGAATTTCTTCCCTATTTTCAAAGCTAATAACTAACTCGATACTTAACCAAATTTGATGATTCAAAAACTAATTTGAAGCTAGAAATGTAATGAACAAGGCTATACCAGTTTCGAGGGCCAAATGTCAACGAGATGGCTTGAAAAATCCTCTGAAATGGGCTAAATGGTCACGGGTCCAAGCTTCCAAATTTCTGGGGAATCTCCCCCTTGGTGAGATTCATCTGCACCAACCTTTCCCCAATTCTCATTTAAGGTTGAAAGACAGTACGAGATTATGTTTAAAAGGAAAAATAAGAAGGATTTCGAGACTTACCATGGTTGCACAATGCTTCAGTGCATAGAGAATAAAGAGAGCGAGAAAGAGAGTCCCTTAGCATAAACATCCATTTGTCAATTCATCATCATCACCATATCCAGTATCAGCCTTCGACCTTAGTACCCTAAGGAATCATGCTAGCACAATGAACCACTAGGTTAAGAAGAAAGCCAATGATGGTGGTCCCATCGTCCAGGTTGCTACTATGCAGTGAGCAAAGTTTGAGATCTCCAGAACTCGGGATGCGAATGAAAAGAACAAGAGAGTGTGGGGTGAGGGAGCTTGGCTCCATTTTTTTTATAGAGAGAAAAGATAGGTGAGAGAGCTGAGGGAGAGAAGAGTGTTAAAAAAAATAGAAAGTGAGAGAGTTGAATGATTTGACAAGAAAGAGAATGAGAGATGTCAGGCCCGGAAAAATGGGAAGAAAATGGGCACGGGGAGTGGTGGAGGTATAGGGCGCGGTCCCCACATGTCTCACAATTAATTCAAACTATCTCTAACACAAAATTACCTATTTACCTTCGGTATTCGATGTTTCGTAAAAACTTAACCGTAGCTCTGATTTTAATTCCGCTTACGCCAACGCGTTCGTAGTGACGAGCACTACGAGGATACGTTAAAAGAATAAGTCCTACGCTCCTCTAGACAATGGTCAACAGAAGTCAAAGTTTCGTAAACTCACGCTTTTAAAATTTATAAAAACGTCAAATTAGGGACAAGTTGTCACATGAGAGCCTGTAAATTGAAAGCAGTTTGAAAACAACAGTTTCTCTCCCACATTTCTTTCCTCAGTTTCCAATATTTTTTTTTATTTTGTTTTTTATTGGTGTTTTTACTGCATCTGTCTCTTTGTGTTTTCATTTTTTTATTTTAAATCAAGACCAGTTACCAATATTACATTCGTCAGTTATCAATTATGTGGACTTGTTTTACCAGTATTCGGTTTAATTTCCGTCTATTATTATTATTATTATTATTATTATTATTATTATTACTACTACTAGCATTTGCATACACACTTTATGTGAATGAACACATTTTTTAGAAAAATGAGAAGGAGAGAGGGAGCAAGAGAACATGGGGGAGTGGGAGGTTTTTTTTTTAAAAAAAAAATTAATTTTAAATATTGGAGATATTTTAACATCACCTGTAGGCGAGGTCTCAATTAAAAACAGTAAAATTTGGACTTGTGAAATTACATTATTGCCCATCATTTTTTTTGGGTGATAGAAGACTAAATTGTCTTTTTACCCTCTTTTGGTTGACAAAGAGAGTTTCATTAATTAATAGATTATTATTTGTATTTCTTGCTTTTTAGTAAAAATTTAATTTTTTTCTTTCAATACAGTGAATGTTCGGTTATACGTTTTTACCAGTATGTCCTATTTTTGTTTTTTTTTTTGGACTTTTTTTAACAAACGATATTTTCTACACTATAGATGATGAGATGGGCTAAACTCTTTTTTGGACTTGATTGTTAAAAAAAAAAAAGTAGAGTGGCATTTTTGGCATTTCGAAATGCTTCACCATTTTGTTGTTCTGGCTTTATCTCTACTAATTAATGAAACTCTCATTGTCAACTAAAAAAGGATGAAAAGACAACTTAGTGTTCTCTCTCATTGTCAACTAAAAAAGGATGAAAAGACAACTTAGTGTTCTATCACAAAAAAAAATTATGGGCAATAATGTAATTTCACAGGTCAAATTTTACTATTTTTTATTGAAACATCACCAACAGGTGATATTAAAATATCTCTAATATATAAAATTAATAAAAAACAAAAACAAAAACCTCCCACTCCTCCCATGTTCTCTCTCTCTGTCTCTGTCTCTGTCTCTCTCTCTCTCTCTCTCCCCTCTATCCTTCTCATTTTCTAAAAAAATGTGTTCATACACACAAAGTGTGTGGGCAAATGCTAGTATATATTGATAGATGAGGAGCTGGACGCACTTTTTTCTTTGTTTTACTTTTTAAACCGCAAAACTGCTAATTTTTAGTGGATAACTATCCAACAGGATCCTCTCCGGATCCTCTTTGTGAGGATCCTGAGGATTCATGAATCGTATTTATTCATTGTACATCGTGCAGTCAATTTTTGTCAATTACTATTTGTGTTTAATTTTAAATAAATAAATTTAATATGATTTCTGACCGCAGGATGTATGAGCGGACACAATTGACGGATCTCCAAAATTCTCACAAAGGGGATCCAGTGTGGATTCAGATTTGATAACTATAATGCTTTTGTTTTTGAATTTAGTCTTTTCCAATACCCTTTTTTTGTTCGGTTATGTTTTTTTTTTTTTTTACCAATTTGTCCTAGTTTTTTGAACTTTTGAAGGTTTGATTGTGAAGAAAACAAAGGGGCTTTTTTGACATTTTGAAATGCTTCACTTATTTAGTCTTCTCCCTTTATATATATAGATATTCGAGTAATTACAGTTGGTCAATATTTGAGTAATTGTCACTCAGTGCTACTTTAGTAGTGGTATTTCTTTTTATCTGTAGGTGAGAGGTTTTAGGTTTCGATTCTCGCTGTAGGTGAATTTGAACCACTGCTAGCCCATTGTGAGGCTTAGCCTAAGGGGTTCAGTTTCATTCGGTTCGGTTTTTTGTCAAAATCGAAACTGAACCGAAATTTTCTTATGGTTTTTGTTAGTTCGCTTTTTATTCGATATGGTTTTGTTCGGTTCGATTTCGGTTTTTTTATTTTATAAAACTTGATCTTTTTTTAATATGAAATTGAGAAAAGAGGCTTGCATTGATACACTAATAATAAGAAAATGGGAAAAGTGGGAAGGTAGTTGTACCTATACAAGATCATATGAACCAATCTTATTCTATCAACAACCTCAATCGTAAAGAAAAATGATCACCGTATCCATTCCAAAAGTAAACAAATACAGAAGTTCTTCCAAGTTCCAAAGCCTTCCAAAACTTTCATATATAACCATTGGAATATCCCCCCTAATTGAACTAAGTATGCTTCTTGAAAAATCCCTAGGCTTAGTTTCAAACTTGGCAGTAAAGTTTCACAAAAGAAACATCATTGGCATCATTCATAAAGTGTAAAGAGATTCGATTTGGTTGAATTCGGTTCCCTTTTTTTTTTTTTTTTTCTTAATTTTTGGTTTTTCGATTTTGGTTCGGTGTTCCATCCCTTTTTTTTTCTTTCTGTTTTCAGTTTTTGGTTAATGCAAACAATATCATTTGTTTGAAAAAAAAAAATATTTGAGTAATTGAAGAAATCCTCACAAAGCAATACTAAGTTAAACAAGCGAGAAAAGCACTATATATTCTATTAGTAAAGCCTAAACCTTCTTATTAAACATTAAAGTGATAACAAGCATGAAAAGACTCCTTGCCATACATAGACTAAATTGGTTTTGAACTCGTGTATGAATTTGAAATTAACATTTCTCACCTACTAGTTAAAAAGAATATCACTAAAATGTTGCACTGAAATTATCACGACTTTTGACATGAACAATCTTTTGGTGTGCTAATAACATGAGCATGTGACTATTATTTCACTAAAATTATCACACATACGAGTGAGAGATTGGAGCACATCGCCCGTTCCCAGTAGTGATAAAAATTCTTCATTATCCAAACCCAGAGAGTAAGTTCATCATGTATGCATGCATTCTTAAAATACTTTTGCTGCGTCTTTAACAACTCTGCAAAACAAATAACAAATACAGGGGAGATGTCGACTCACTTAATCTAAATATAACACGATGAATGTAACCCAAAAAAGAGGGCAACTGTGGGATATTGGGGACGCCGCACGCGGCAAGCATGGCGCCGTGAGCATAGCAACGACATGCGAAATTCAGAGACCAAACTATAAATCCATCAAGATTCAAGTTCAAAACTACGACGCGATAAAATCCTTCGAAAACTCAAGACTGTTCAAGTCACTACCACAACAGAAAGGTAGATGTTTCATTACATAACAGTAAAGCTCAGATTTCCCCTAGATAGATCTGTTTATCACTACTGCACGATCCAATGATGGGTTCGTTGGGATGGAAAACAGACTCGTTGACGGATCCACTGTGGCCAGGCAGCATATACAAGATGCGTCGGGAAGTGGTGTCCCATACGTAGACCATCCGATCAGAACTGCCAGCCGTGACCTTGCTTCCATCAGGGGACCAGCCACATTTCAACAGGTTCTTTTCAAAATTGTGCTGGTGACCTTCCATTATCTTCACACAGCGATTTTGCGGTGCATACGGGCGCATATCCCAAATGCAGAGTTTGCTGTCCATTCCATTAGTCAGAAGATAAGAGCCATCAGGACTCAATGACATACCTGTTATCATATCTTGATGGCCTTGAAGTGTCATCATTACTTCAACTTTGCGCAAATCCCATACCTTAATGTCATTGTCAATACCTCCCGTAAAGATTTTATCGGATGCATCAGAGAAGCTGACAGCTGTAATTTGATATTTATCAGGGAATGTTTGGATCGCTCCCCTCAGACGCATATCCCAGAGTTTGGCAGTTCCATCATCAGATCCACTGACAATAAGAGGAGGTCCCCTTCGAGCAGGATGGCAAGAATTCACAAACGAAGAGTGCTCAGCCATCTTCTTTATCCTTTTTCCTGTTTCAACATCCCATGCCCCCACAGTTTTGTCTGGACTGGCTGATATAATCTGTGAACCATCGGTTGTCCAGTGAAGATCCAATACAGCATTCTTGTGCCCCTTCAAAACCATAAAGTTCTTGCATTCCCCATGAACATTCCATAAAAAGATTTCTTTGTCATGGGACCCAGACGCAATAACTGTTCCAGCAGGGTTAAATTTCATTGTGTATACAGCACTCTGATGGCCTGTCAGCAACATGATCGGTGATTCCAAGCTGGAAGTCCTTTGTTTCCCATTTGGTCCAGGTGCTGGGCGACCATTGTATGTAGACAAATCCATTGGCCTTGGACCAACAACCGACAAAGCATTTTCACCCTCACTAGGAGCAAAATGCATCATTGATTCTGTCTGGTATTTGAACAGCAAACAGTTGGTTCCTGTGAGATCGAATCCTACAATACAAATGAAATAAATAAGCAAATATGTTATATATTAAATAACCTATCACACCCTGCAAACATCAAATTATTTGAGCTTAAAATCTAGTTAGGCAAACCAGAATAAGTACATAAACATAGAAATTTAGACTGAAGAGGGACTTTCAGAGTCCCAGAGAACTTTAGAATAGTTAAAACGCACTGGACGCTACCATGAACTACTCGAGCACTTGATAGCTACTACTAAAACACTACAATACACTACAAAGCACCACTCAAGGAGTCATTTGAAAGTTCTCTCAAATGTATTGTTTCTAGTCGTCTTGCAAGTCCTTCTATCTAATTTTTGTAGTGCATTCCTATTTTTTAACAAATTTAGCCCAACTTCCATGGAACATTAAAGTCCCTCATCCATGCACAGGGTAAGAAAAAACCACAATGACAGCAGGCAGCCACAGGTAACAGCAGAGCCAATTTCCAATTTGTCATCAGACAGCATCACACAACTGAAGCCACATATTAGCCACCATGCAAACAAGAGTAGAGGCGGTCTCTCTCTCTCTCCTAAGCATACAGGTTAAGTGCGTATGGAGCAAATAATCCATTATCTTACAATCCAAATGAGCATTTTCTAAGAAACGCTAGGATTAGCTTTTGAAATAAAAAAAGACAAATGACCTTTTGTGACCCAGTTTCGGAAGTACAGAGAAAACAAATGAAGCCTAAAAATCTATATTCTCTTCAAAACTTCAACTTTCTTCTTCCATTCCCAAGATTCAAGTACAATCACTCATGATAAGATTTGTGAGCTGAGATTTGAAGATCTTAATTCTCAGAAGGGAAAAAAACAAAAGAAACTGCTTGTTTTGTGATCCCACTTCAGTGCATATAGTTACCTGTGAAAACAGTTACCTTAAAATTTATCGTAACAAAGAAGTGATGTTTGCAAGGAGAAATGGATGTTGGTGGGATTGTTGGAAGAATCAACTCTCTGCCACCATCAAGTCAAGAAGTTGCTCCACAATAAAAGCACTATAGAATGAGAAAGACCCATTCACTCAAAAGGATAAAAAGCAAGACAACCGCAAGCCCAAATCTTTACTAAACGGTGGAGAAAAACAAGAAAACAATGTATTGCTAGTTCGTCGAAGAAGAGAGAAAGTCCACTTTCCTTGCCTTTTCATAGTAAGCCGTTTACAAGTTCTTTCATAGTATGCTTAGTAGAAATCTGGCATCCCAGGATTTAAGCTTTTCTAAAGTAACTGAAAATTCCGTGACCCAACTGTATTGTAAACCAATTCGCCTAGCCAACTGTAACACCAACCCCATCCATCCCCATCAAAGCATAATCCTGATTATACAGGGGTTTGCGTGTTGGTATCATAATCCAAGTTAATTAAAAAGGCAATGAATTCTAGAATGCAATCAGTTTTTTTCCCTGCACCACACCACTGTTCCACTTTTTCCATGAGCTATCTCACAAAACAAATCGATTAATTAGACTGAAAAAGTTTACAAGTCAATCCAAAATTCCCCGTCTAAAAATTAACACATAATTAAATAAATAACTACTTCAAATGCCCACTAACAATGTTAGGATGCCAAGTGGCATCACTTAGTTAGCCAGGTGTCAATTGTTGAGTTGGATTTCTTTAGCCTGCAACCAGCTATATAAGCTGAGATATGTGCAGATGCAAAGGGGGAATGAATATTTGATTGTATTAGTGTTCTTGTTAGTATATCTTGTATTTGAGTAAAGGTTGAAGTGGGGGTTCTATCATTGGTATCGAGCCAGTCTTGATTCCTCAATCCCTTCTCTTTTTCCGATTGAATCGTGCGTCGACGAAGGAAGCCATGGAAATTCATAACCATCTTGCTGCGATTAACAACACTCTCAATGTGCTAATCCAGCGATTTGACACCATGGAAGCTCGTCAAGATTCTTTTGATGCTCGATTCGAGAAACTATACCACGATTTTGTGGACAAATGCGATATGGGTTCGCATCTGTTGTTCATCAAAATGGCATCTCCCATCTCTTTTGAGAAATCGAACCAAGTCGTTCTCAAGCTTCAATCCTTCCATGAGAAAAAAATTCATACCAAAGAGAGAGTGAATCAATTCTCTCAATTTCATCAAAGTTACAAGCCCAAGACTCGTCCTTGTTTACGACCCATATTGAAGAGATTCAAGAAAGTTCGTGACTACAGCAAACACGACGATGATGGTTCTGCAATATTTCGTTCCAATTCCAAATTTGAGGAAAGTTATGGGTTTTTTTGGAAAGCTTTGGCTGTGGAGGACGAAAAGGTTTTCAATTTGTTCGACAGGGAAGCTAAAGATTCTGTGAAAATTCCTCCATTTCTTGATTCTATTGCAAGGCAGGCACCGCAAAGGAGTTGGTTTCTTTATTCAACAAGAAAGTTGAAGATTTTGTAGTAGCTTCTCTAGTTCTTGATTCTGATTGCAGGAAATCCAAGGTTCAAGCTACATTTCGTAATGGCTTGGCTACTTCTTTTGGACATAAATTCATTCAGTTCGGGATGGCGCCTTCATCTATTTGTGAATCTAGTTGCAAGAACGATGTGGTCCAGGATTTCATTTTCACAATTCCTGTTTCTGATGATAGGTTCGTGAAAATTGATTCACCTGCAACCCAGGTGTTTGATGAAAGGTCACACTCAATATATTGTGATTTTCAGTTGGGCTATCATATGCCGATTTCTGACACCAGAGGAAAAGTTGAAACCATTTTGGTGCAAGATGATGCTTCTACTGGTGTTGTTCTTATTCTTCAATTCCACTACCATAAAGGAATTCGTGATAAAGGTGGTGGTTTGGCAAAAGACAAGATTTGGAAGGACCATTCGAGAATATTCAGGTACAAGATTAGTACAATCCTTATATCTTCTTGTACAAAACGATCTGAAAATGCTACTGCATATAACAAAGATGGAACTGTTTGTCTCTTTGAATTCAACTCAATGGATTTTCTGGCAATTTGTGAGTTGGGTTTTGTTCTTAATGCAAAAAAGAGGAATTTTTTGGAGGAAGCTGACCACTTTATTGTACCTACTGAGAAAACTCGTCTTGCTCTCAACGTGTTTGATGAAATTCCTGACTCAAATTGTCTTGTTGTTGTCAATTATGACATGTACTATTGCAAGGGTATTCAAGATAAGGGTAGAGGCTCAAAATTCAGGTATATGGTTACTCTGAATATTCATTTTTCTTGTATGAATGCATCTGGAGATTCTATTGAATGTAGCCAAGATGGAATATTTGAGGTTGTAGGTGGAGAATTTTATAGTTCAAATATTCAATTGAGCGGGGCAGGGAAGAAGAAATCCCCAAATGTTAGGGAGGATTATCTGGTTCATAGCTTTTACGGGCAAAAGAAACTAACATTTGAAAGGAATGTTTATGGATCTTTTGGTTTGCCAGATACTAGTCATTTACTTGAGGGTGGTATATTAACTGGTAGAAGAATGATGACAATGAGTGACCATGGTATTCTTTACCATCTTAGTAGTAAATATGTTGAGCACAGGAAATTGGATGTTGCCATCACTGGTGCAATGCACATGCCAAAACTAAACGATGGGTCTAGTGTTTTGGGTTTGTTATTGTTAACTCTCTAGAGAACTAATTTGATCTAGGAAGCTAGTACTACTTTGCTGCCCATTGTAAAAGCTATATTTGCATTTACACCTTGGATTGTAGATGAGGCTTTACGTTTCATACTCATCTCAATTGGTAAAACAAATTGGATTGTGGGAAATACTGTGTTGAGCAAAACTTGAGGGTTGCCAATTGAGAGGGCAGATTCTTGTCAACCGATATGGCCGCTGGTATTAATACACAAATTTCCAAATAATACTACGAGCATGGTTGTAATTTTGTGTTTATTGCTGTGATTGGTGCCTTGTTTGCTGAGAAAGAAAGGAAAAAAATTCATAGGGTTGGTGTACTGGTGGACTTTCTATGTAGGTGCTCAATTCATGTGAGTAGTGTCATTATGCATCTGGACTCTAGGTGTGGCAATGAGCATAATGCCTTGAGGTTTTTCTTGGACCCAGATTTGTGTGAAATTACTAAACCAAATATTTCTTGGAATTCTTTGCTTGCTGGATACTTTGAGAGTAGAGGTACAAGTCAGGCTGTTCAAGTGGGTATTGAAATGTATGGAGTAGTGGTGTGCATAGTTGCATTGGGTATCCTTATGCATGCTGGAAATTCTGATTGTATGGTCAATATCATTGCTCAATTTTGGACAGGGTGTAATGTGGAGTTAATGTTTTCAGCAGTGAGCTTTTGGTGGAAGCAGACTTATGGTTTCATTAGTTCAGTACATATGTTGTTGCTCGTTTACAAGGGAAAAACATATCAGTCCTCATACTACTTGTGGAAGCATATTGCTGCAGCAAATTAATAGGAATGCTGCTGCTATATACTACTGGCTTATGTCGCTCATTGTCTCTAGATCAACCTATGGTAGTTGGATCCATTGCCAAATCATAATCAAAAGAATGCTACTGGAATTTTCAAAGCTAAACCTTGAGGACAAGGTTGATTTCTAAGGGAGGGGTAATGTTAGGATGCCAAGTGGCTTCACTTAGTTAGCCAGGTGTCAATTGTTGAGTTGGATTTCTTTAGCCTGCAACCAGCTATATAAGCTGAGATATGTGCAGATGCAATGGGGGAATGAATATTTGATTGTATTAGTGTTCTTGTTAGTATATCTTGCATTTGAGTAAAGGTTGAAGTGGGGTTCTATCAAACAAACTCACAGATCTTGACTGTTAACTTATGGCCATTTCACATAATTCAAGCACAATCAAAACCCCTCCACGCATCAACCAAGACAAACCCTAGTTTCTATTTCGTTCCTCTTTGCAACGTTTATCAGAAAATAGCAAAGCATACTTTCCCGAAATTCTCAAACAGTTAATATTTACTGAGATTCAGACCAAAGCATATCTTAGAGAGAGAGAGAGAGTGCGTGCGTGCGTGGGTGTACCTGGTAGAGCTTTATCCGGTAAACCCTAGAGGGTTCTTCTCCGTCTTCTTCCTATTAACGCGGCTCAATGATCGACCTGTGCTGAAACAACGTATAACTCGCATAAACTACGCTTGGACGCTGTCGTTTTGCCTCAAGACTTAAGATGCCGCCTATTGGGAACTGTTGGGCCTCACTGCCTTGGAAGCCCAATTCTATTCGGTAGCAATCAATTCAAACAATGTAACGGTTCAGTAGACAACAGCCGAAATCAAAATACTTAAACCTGCACATTTAAGTTATATATTTGAACAAGATTTGTTAGATTTTTTAATGTGCATCGGAGAAATTTCACGAGTTTAGGAGGAGTTCGACAGCTAAGTCAATCTGGGTTTTAGGTGGTAATCTAATTTACAATGGCTTGTGGTTACAAAGGTCATTTTGCGCAAGTTGTAGTAGTGATTCTAGTTAGTACACGAATTCAAAAGTATGAAAGTTGTGTGTCACTACGGGTTTAGTACCCTTTATTTTATTTTTTTTATCAATTGTAAGTGAGAGATATTGAATTTCGTAGATGGATAATTCGAAATTAATTTATTCTCCAATCCCTTAATGTAAATATATCGTTGTGTCAAAACCAAAATAATATGAAGAGTTGCTTTCAAAATATGATATTTTGACCGAAAATGCTTCTTACATAAGCAATTCCAAACATACTCTAAGCATTCTATTGACAAGGAAATAAAATATTCCAAGTATAACAGATACAATGAAATGCATTAAAGAGATAAGTTTGCCATTCACTCTCTTTTCTTTATAAGAAAACAAAATAGAAATTAAATAGAAAATTCAAACTTAGGACTTTCTAAAAAACAACCTACTTATATTATTAAACTATCTTTGGTTGGCAAAGAAAAATGAGATGTGATTTATTGAAGGTGGCTTGGGTTGTAAAGATCTTTACGCTTTCAATCTTGCGTTGCTTGCAAAACAAGGGTAAAGGCTACTACAACAACCAACGTCAATTACGGCAAGACTATTTCAAGCCAAGCATCTTCCTAAAGACAGATTTTTTTGTCTTGGTCACAATTTGATCAAACGAATACCTGATGTGTAAATTAACTTGACACACAAATTAAACCCTATTGATGACAATTGTAGTAATGATGCAAGTAGGGATCGTTCTAGACCGGGGATTAACTAGGGATGCTAATCAACACAAATAAGACTCAAAAACACTAAACTAGACTCTATAGACTCAAAACTAACTCAAAACACTCAAAACAGCAAGAAACAATAAAAAAGACTCAATTCTAGACCTAATAAGTGATTTGGACGAAAATAGAACTTAAAAGACTCAAAAGACCAAAAGAAAACAGGTTTTGACTCTAAAAACAAGACTTAATGAAGGGGGATTTTGTTTTGACGAAATTGAAAGTTCAAACATAAACTTTGAAAACAAACTTAACAAAAACGATTTTGGATGAAATAGAATGGTAAAAGGTTAGTTAGAGGGTTCCTTCTCCACACATGAAACATATGCATACGACTCGATTTCCAGTTACTCTTTCAACAAACCATGAATGACAATGCCCCAAATTAACTAGATTGCACCAATTAATTCTCAGATTTCCCTAAATTCATTGAATTGAATGGAATACGCATTACAACCAAATTATTCTTATCAAGGACCCTAACTATGGAATACGCATGATAGAGACACATATCAAAGATCATTAAGTTCAATGTAAATCATAAGCATTGACGAGGCATTCATAACTATGGAATACGCATGTTACTCTTGCCAAGGATTTACTTAACACAATCGTGACTAGCGACTTTTACTACTTATGAATATAAGTTAATAACGATTAGGTGAAATTCCCTTATACTCTAGCATCAAATTCATGCATGCAAACTAAGTGTCGACCCTCAATCAACATACATAAACATGTTATCAATCAAATAGATAAGTAAACCACATTCACGATTTATGAAATCATAACTGGAGGAAATCAAGTCATATAAAACATATGATCATGGCTTTGAATTCCCCTCTAACTATAAAGAAATTAGTTCCTCATGTTCGCAAATAAATAAAGATAAATAAATTTAAACATTGACATAAAGATAGAAAACACCTAGAAACGCTCCAACAATCCAAGCTCCTTGAATGGCATGCACGGCTCCAAGAGTCTCCTTCCTTCTCCTTTGCAAACTCACGGCACAAGAGGGATGTTTAGGTGAATGGTGTAGTGAAAATATGGTAGAGGGTGGTGATCAATTGGTGCGGCAAAGGGTTGTATTTATAGGCTGAAAATCACAGCCCCTAGGTAGCAAAGGAAAAGGATTTAAAGGCCTAATTTGCATGGGAAAATAACACACAATCCTTGAAGGAAAACAAATTAGAAATCCAAAGGGAATGGGAGGATAAGGTGCGGCATTAAACTAGGAAAGGATAAGGGCTTCTAGAAACCAAAATCCCAAGGGAATTGGGTGAAAACTCACGGCAAGAATTGGAGGGAAAGTGACAGAATTGCAATGCAAGGCAAAGGTCTTCTAGAAAGGTTCTAGGCGCCACCTTTGTAGGAAAAGATTAGGTCTTCTAGAAATCTGATTTTAAGCATCCTAATATAGTTAGGAATCCTCCCTCGCAGCTGGAATATAGGTGGATTAGGATTAGGATAAGATAGGATAGGATAAGGTTTGGATAATGTTTTGGATAAGGTTTCTTCACTTGAGCTGATTCTTTGGCTTTAACTTCCCTTCTTCAAGTAGGAAACCTTGTTTGAGTAGGAAACTTCAATCTTCTAGAAATCCAACTTCACTTAGGAATCATTCTTCAACTAGGAATCCTTCTTCAACTAGGAATCCATTGTTGACTAGGATTTCATCTTCAATTAAGCACTTTCCTACTTCAATTAGGAAACTTTGCATCTTCAATTCTTCAACTTTGAAACACATTCCTAGCTTCTTCAATCCTTCAAATTCGTCCATTCTTTGTGCTCCACATGCATGAGCTCCATTCTAGCTCAATTTTGCTCCAAAATGCTCCAATTTGCATCTTTTTGCTTACTTTATCCTTAAAACATGAAAACACATGAAAATAGCTTAAAATACTAACTTAACTAAGAAAACACAAGAAGAAGTGCATAAATATGCTCCTATCAATAAGGCGCATAAATATGCTCCTATCAATACCCATCAGTTTGTTTCAAACGAACGGTACTCTGATTTGGAATGTGGCAGAGAATGAGAAATTCACAAGAAGAAGTGCATACCATCTAGCGTGGGCGTGTGGGGAGATAAGTGGTAATGAACCAAGTGGTTCAATAATGATCCTGAAAGTAAAGTTCTTATGGAAAGCATTGTGGCGAGCCCGTGTACCGGGGAAGGTTAAAATTTGTGTGTGGTGGTGTTGCATGGATGCTCCACCAACCAGGGATAATATTAGGAAAAGGAAGATGTATATGGAGACTACCTGTTTGTTTTGTGATGGGAGTGCTGAAACAATTGAACATTTGATGCTAGATATGAGAAGCAGGGAGGATCGACAAAAGCATATTATTAACAATATGGAAAAATAGACTATATCCATTGCAGGAGATTTAAGAAACAAGAAAGCAATGAAGAAAGTAAAGAGAGAAAGCTGAGGAAAATATACTGATTGTATTGAATGTATGAAAAACTCAAGAGAATTACAAAGAGTATCAACTTATATAGTAGTAGTGTCTTAGCTTACACACTAGCAATTATTCTAACTGTCTAAAACAGTTGCAGTACCATATTTCAACAAACCATGCTGAGCTGACAATCTTAACAAACTATGTTGAGTTAGCAATCTTAGCAAACTATACTGAGTTGGCATTTGGTCAATGATAGTCAACATGCCCCCTCAATCTTAACTGGGATTTCCCAGCTTAAGATTGTAGCAGTGCAGAAGAAATGAGGGACTGTGTAAGCCTTTGGTTAACACATCTGCTATTTGTTCTTCAGTAGGTACATAGAGCACTTCCAAATCACTCTTTTAGACTCGTTCCCTTACAAAGTGATAGTCTATGTCTAAATGTTTTATCCTTGACTGAAAAATGGGATTAGCACTCAATGATATGGCTGACATATTATCACAATGTATGATGGGTGGATAAGGAACATGAAATTTTACATCTCTCAAAATCTGTCTCACCCAAGCAATATCAGTTGCAGTGTGTGCAAGAGCTTTATACTCTGCTTCAGTTGAACTCCTTAAGATTGAGGACTGTTTCTTTGATTGCCAAGACATAGGATTGTTCCCAATAAAAACAACATATCCTGTCACAGATCTTCTAGTGTTCAAGTTAACAGCCCAGTCTAAATATGAAAATGCTGCCAAGTTGGATTCTGACTTTGCTGAATGCACTATACCATAATTTATTGTTCTTTGAATATCTCAGGATCCTCTTCACTACCCCCAAAATGTAAATATGTTGGTGTTGTCATGAATTGGCAAACTGAATTGACAGCAAAAATAATATCAGGCCTAGTGAAGGTCAGATATTGCAGTGATCCTACAATACTCATGTACATACTTGGATCTGTGATCATTGTCCCTTTTGAGGCAAGTAATTGGTTGTGAGGTTTGCAAGGTGTTGTAGATGATTTACAAGAGTCCATGTCTACTTTATGAATCAAATCCCTAACATACTTTGCTTGATTATCAAAGAAGTCACCACCAGAAAGTATGTAAGCTTCCCCAAATCTTTCAAGTCTAAAACTGTAGCTAGTTCTTCAATGGTTTTTTGAATTTTTATAGAATTGATCCAGTGAGAATTATATCATCTATATATAAAAGTAGTATGATAGTCTCCTCATCTTCTGTCTTTATGAATAAACTGGAATATGAGAGTGATGCAGAAAACCCCATAACTAGAAGATAGCTTATCAATTTCGACCAAGCCCTTGGAGCTTGTTTTAGACCATAAAGTGATTTTAATAATTTGCATACATGTGTTGGATAAGAACTGTCAATAAATCTCTGAAGTTACCCCCTCTTGCAAATCTCCATGCAAAAATGCATTCTTTCTGTCATATTCCTTCTACATTGCACTTTGCCATTGAGGAATTGATACAGCTTTCCTAAAACATGAAGGCTCAGTTACATCTGTAATCTTTGAGATAAATGAATATCCTC